GACTCTATGTGGTCGTAGTTTGTCTCTTTGTAGTTTTGTATGTCTCTTTGTAGTTTTGTATGTCTCTATGTGGTTGTAGTTTGTCTTTTTGTAGTTTTGTATGTCTCTATGTGGTCATTGTTTGTCTCTTTGTAGTTATTTTATGTCTCTATGTGGTTGTTTTGTGTCTCTTTGCAGGTCTTTTGCATTGTGAAACAAGGTCAACATTTACATATTTTAAATTACATCCACAGCATAAATAACGTAACAAATGTCGTAATTTGAAGCCAAACGTTCTTTTTACTAAACGCAACCAAGTTTTTTTGTTTTGTCTTAAACCACAACTGTTATTTGGGAAGAAAAACGTTTTCCTCTAAACATAGTTGAGATGGCAGTTTATCTGCATGGACACAGAGTTGGCCCCGAACCCTTTAAGTACCTGACCCTCAGGGCCCCTGACCCTTAGGGCCCCTGACACTGTATCTGTTCAGTAATCCATCTGGGATCTGAGCATTGATGATGAAGTGATTTTCTCTTGAAGAGAGGAATCTCTGCAGGTTTTCTTGTCGTGACGCGTCTGAATGGAGACTACTTCAGGGTAGAAAATATGTTAATTACTCACCGTGTTAAAAACCAGTTAACTCGTCACACCTTCTAATGAAAACCTTCTCCTATTTAACGGCGTTGTTTAAAAACCTTCAGCAGGTAGAGATAATTCAGTATTCATGTCTTTACAAAGAATAAAAACAAGCCTTCAGTGACTTAAATCTTTTGTCTTATTCCAGATTATTGTTTGACATTAACACCTGTTATAGTTAAGTTAATTGAAGTTATAAACATCAAAGGGTAAAGCCAGAGTTCAGTATTTCATGGATTTTAGTGAGCTGTTTATTTTACTGGCCAGTAATCTTTAAAATAATTTACTTGTTTTTCTCTTCATGGTTTTGTCCTTTGACTCTGTCTTCTGTCTCTCTGCAGGACTTTGTGTCAGACAGGGAGTGCTGCAACGTCATGTGCAAATGTTCGGGACATGAAGGCGTCCGAGGCTCTCGGGGCCGCCCGGGCTCAAAGGCGAGTGGAAGACACGCCCCTTTAGAGTGTAAACATGATGTGTGACACCTGCAACGGGCCTTTGGTCCGACTGATCAGTGACTTCATGGTCTCATTCAGACCAATAACAGAAGAGCTAGTTTGTTGACGTGGTGGAGCATCTAAGCTGCTGTGTGTCTCTCCTGAACAGGGTCTATCTGGACAGAAAGGGTTCCCCGGGTTCCCCGGAGACGAGGGCGTCGCTGTAAGTTCTTCTTCATCACTCTCGTTCACTTTCATCTTCATCTTCATCTGTTCAAGGTTCCAGTTCACTAGACTGAAGACTGCTGAGGGAGTCCACTGAGTCCACTAAGACCAGTGAACTTTTCTTTTCTTTAAACTGAATCATAAAAGTCTTTTCTGGAGCTGAAGTCCTTCAGACATAAATACTTTTCTGTTTATTCACTGTTACTGTAACTCCATTAGAGGTGAAGTACCTCTTCCTCCTCCTCCTCCTCCTCACTGTGTCAATGTTCTACAGGGTGAACGGGGTCGTCCTGGACCCGCTGGACCTCAGGGGGTCCAGGGTTGTTCTGGACTCAGAGGACTGAAGGTATGATGATGGTGATGATGATGATGATGATGGTGATGGTGGTGATGATGATGATGATGATGATGTTTATGTCTGCAGGGCTACCGTGGTCTCCGTGGTAACAGGGTGAGTGACCCGGCTCAGTTGACATGATGTCACATGACGAGATGTTTCTAATCTGCTGACTCGACTCATTCCATCGTTACAGGGAGAACAAGGAGAGGACGGACTGGACGGAGTCAATGGAGAACAGGTATTATTATTATATTATATTATATTGTATTGTATTTTATCATATTGTATCATATCATATATCATATCATATCATATTATATCATATTATATTATATTATATTATATCATCTATCATATCATATTATATTATATTATATCATATTATATTATATCATATATCATATCATATTATATCATATTATATCATATCATATATCATATTATATTATATTATATCATATTATATTATATCATCTATCGTATCATATTATATCATATTATATTATATCATATTATATTATATCATATTATATTATATTATATTATATCATATTATATTATATTATATCATATCATATTATATTATATCATATATCATATCATATTATATCATATTATATTATATCATATATCATATCATATTATATCATATTATATTATATCATCTATCATATCATATTATATCATATTATATTATATTATATCATATATCATATATCATATCATATTATATTATATTATATCATATATCATATATCATATTATATTATATTATATATCATATCATATTATATCATATTATATTATATCATATATCATATCATATTATATCATATTATATCATATTATATTATATCATCTATCATATCATATTATATTATATTATATCATATATCATATATCATATCATATTATATCATATTATATTATATCATATATCATATCATATCATATTATATCATATTATATTATATCATATATCATATCATATTATATCATATATCATATCATATTATATCATATATCATATTATATCATATTATATTATATCATATATCATATCATATTATATCATATATCATATCATATTATATCATATTATATCATATTATATTATATCATATTATATTATATTATATCATATTATATTATATCATCTATCATATCATATTATATCATCTATCATATCATATTATATTATATTATACTATATCATATATCATATCATATTTCATTATACATATTAACCAGCTACATTACCGAGGAAATGAGCGCTGTGTTCAGGAAACCAGCTCAGCATGGGGATTTCCAGTGCTGAGCTGAGTTCTGGTTCTGGTTCTGCAGGGACGGACAGGACAAGATGGAGGTCGAGGACCGAGAGGAGACCCAGGAAACCCAGTAAAACAACATTTTTACCTTTTATCTTTATGTGAATATATATACATATATACATATATGTATATATATTAGTGTGTATTTGAGGAATGCTGCTCAGCTGGGAGCCGTTGACATCTGACCCCGGCCGGTTGATTGACAGGTTGACCTTTCGTCCTCAGGGTATCCCGGGTATCAGAGGGGAGGCGGGGCTTAGAGGACAGCGAGGACTCAGAGGAGATCCGGTGAGTTTTCTCTCTCTCTCTAATGCTAATGAACATCTGACTGTTAGCTTAGCATAGCTTAGCTTAGCATAAAGACACAGGAGGGAGCAGCTGCTGGAACCCGAACCCTCTGAACCAGATGAAACCGACTGAGAGAAATCATGAATAATAAATCATAAAGAGTGTGTGAACCATCATGAGACACTCTGAGAGTCCTCCAGGTTAGTTTCTGCTGACGAGACACAAACCTAAACACTGAGGATGTGTGTGTGTCTTCAGGGGGAACCGGGAGCTGATAACACCAGACCAGGATCTAAAGGAGAACCAGGGAACGCAGGTTTACCAGTAAGACACGTCTCAATCTGAGTGGACATGAAGGATCATGTGAGCTTGAGAGACACTGAAGACTGTATTTGTTTACAGGGGACACCTGGACAGGACGGACGGCCGGGTGAGAGCGGAGTGGAAGGAAACCAGGTGAGGATTATTATCATTCATATTGTTATTATTAATACTATTAATATTAATTGTATTATTATTGTTATTATTATTATTAACAACATTATTAGGGCCCGAGCAACCGACAACGTCGGGCCGGCGAGGCCCTATTGAAATTGTAAGGGGTATTATTATTTTTCGTGATTCTTATTTTTCCCGTTTGGGAGTTTTTTGGGGGTACTTGCCATGCATGAAAACTCATCAAATTTTGGGGACTTGTCAGGTCTGGCTGAACTTAGTGTCTGAAAAAGAATGCATCTTTCTGTGTAAAAAATGGCTCTCTAGCGCCCCCTACAAATCGGACCGGTGACGCCCCTCGGCCAGTATGTCCGATTTACTTGAAATTCGACACACATTTCCAAATCCGCTAGATCGAGAAAAAAGCCTCTCAGACCCCTAAGCTCCGCCTCCTTAGATTTTCCGCCATATTGAATTTAGTGAAAAACACATTTTTGCAAGCTGCTCCTACATGCTGGGTCCGATTGCTACCAGATTTGCTGTGGATCATTACTGGATCTACGTCATCAAAAGTTTTCAAAAGCTTTTTGACAAAGAGATATCTCTTGTTTGATATCTCTTTGCGTTTTTTGTATTGGACCAATACACTTCTTAGGTGCGTGGCAAAATATCAATACACATAACTTCTCAACCATTTGTTCTAAATTCCCAAAATATTCAGCATATGTGCACATCGCATCCAGTAACATACCCTGAGAATTGTTTTGCATTCGACCACTAGGGGGCGCTACAGTAAACCCGCGAAGCCTACTGGCTAAAGGAAATGTCTGATGTAACTCAGCTGGACTTGTTCCAAACGGTCCCAAACTTCTCATGCTTGATACCACTCATGGCCTGAGGATGTCTACGAGCTAATTTCCACTAGTACTCACAGCGCCACCTGCTGGCGAAAGGAACTCTGGATTTTGTGATAAACACCTCCGATTTACATGACTTTTACACCATGTGGTTTACACTTGACACAGAGCTACATGATGCATGTTTGCACGTGTTCTGTAGCGCCAGGCAGTGGATACAGGAAGCGTCGGACTATTTGCAAAGCATCATTTCCAGCATCAGGCGGTCCACGCGGGATTAAAAACGTCTCGCTCACGGACGCGCCGTCCGACGGTCGCGGACGTTCTCGGACGCGCAGGCCGGAGTCCCGCCGGCAGCCCCGACGCGCTGCAGATTGCGAGGGCCCGTTCATCGCTGCTCGCAGCTTTAATATTCATATTAATGTTTGTCTGAAGCGCTCAGAACAGATGAATGAAGGTTTGTTCAGAAGTTAAAGGAACATGTTGATGATGATGATGATGATGTGTTCAGGGTCCAGATGGAAGAAGAGGAGCTCTCGGTGAGAAGGTAAGAGATGAAGAGGATGAGGAACTCAGTGCTGCTGTGATGTGTGTGTGTGTGTGAGTGTGTGTGTATACTGTATGTGTGTGTTCGTGTATGTGTGTGTGTGTGTATGTGTGTACGTGTGTGTATGTGAGTGAGCGTGTGTGTGTGTGGATGTGTGTTAGTGTACGTGTGGATGTGTGTGTGTACGTGTGTTAGTGGATGTGTGTGTGTGTGTATGTGTGTGTGTTAGTGTATGTGTATGTTAGTGTATGAGTGTGTGTGTTT